ATCAGCTGAGCAAGAGTACTTATCAGTTTTTGTATCAAAAAGCAAAAATTACAAGTACAAACAAGCATAATCAGATTTCAGCTGAACAAAAGCACTTAGCACATTTTCAAGCATGATATTCACAGAAAATACAAGTGCAGCATAAAAATAAGAAAAGCTCAGAAAAATAAAGACAAGGGACTTACAGAACTCTTCAGAAGTTCCTCGTCTGAAGTAGCAAGTGGACTCGGCTCGCGAGCAGGAGATGTAGCCAAAGGTCCTGAATTGCTGACTCTCCAAGATTCAGCAACAACCAACGCCTGCTCTTCAGGGCGCAGCTGAAAGAAAGGGTCCCGCTTTCGGTACCACGGCTTCTGGGTCGAATAATCAGCCGGTGAAACAATGTCCAGCTGAGTATTTCTAAGAAATGGAGCTCGATCCGAAGGGGGGTGATTTCCGGAGCACGTCTAGTCACCACCCTGGATGCATTAATTCCCAATAGCTCGTAGTTCAGGCCGCAGTTACCTTCGTGCAGCACTGTTTCAGCCAAAAGGAAAGCAGATCAGCACAAGGGAAATAAAAAAAGAAATTATTGTAAAAATAAGAAAAAATGACAAGTACAATTATTCGGCCCCAGCCGAGAGACTTACCATCCTGGTATTTTCGACTGAGGCCTACAACAGCAAGGAACCTCTCCTGGAATATGTAATGATAGAAGGGAAGCCAGACTTGGGGGAGCCCTGTTGATCGGCTAGCTCCCGTTGTCCTTGAATCTTTCTTGAAGAGTTTAATCTGTTCCTGTTCCTCAGCTGTAAATTCCTCGAGGCCGAGGTTGCTCATTTTCGCATCAGGCCATCTCAGATGCCTCGGCACCCCGCAAAAATTAGGTTGATCTTGTTCGGTAGGGGCCCTAACCCAAACCCACTAGCCTCTCCAATCTTTATCAGAGGTGTCATTCGGCCAAGTGGTTAAATATCCCCTATGGGTCTCAATTCGCCACCACCCAGGTCCATGGGCTTCGTTTGACTGCTGGTTCGGCACCAGCCTATGTATCTTCCTAAAGACCTGGAGACTCGGCTCGTACCCATAGAACAGACATACCCACAAAAACGTCACTATCCTCCTAATGCTAACAGGAGTCAGTTGACAAAGGGCAATATCATAGGCGTTCAGCAACTGCACAATAAATGGATGCAGCGGGAATCTAAGTCCGAACTGCAGCTGCCGAGTATATACCCCAAGATAGAAAGGGGGAGGTCTATGGATTCTGTCCTCGGCTCGGGGCATTTGACACCAATACCCGTCCTCCTCAAGAATCCCATAAAATAATTCAATTTGCTCAGCAAACCTATGAGCAGGATCCTCCTTAATCCACCAGTCATAAGGGGCGGCAGTGGCTATCCCACTGTTTTCGGCTGGGTTTAGCCATTCTCTAATACCCTCCCAAAGCCTCCTAGGGCCATGAGCAGCGCCACTATTCAAACTAGTGGGCTCCTCAAAGTCAGAATGAGGGACTGACCTCAATGGTATTGCAGCTAAGGGGGTTCTAGGGTCATTGTCCATATTTTCGGATCTCCTTAACAAGGTGTTATATCGGCTCCGACTCAAACCGGGCATTCGCTGCAAAGGACAATCTCGGCGCTGTCCTAAAAGAGTCAAAGGCAGATTTAGGGCCTCATTTTCAGAATTCTCTCTCTCATCGCTCACATTCGACATGACTGAGTAGAAGAGTAGAAGTTCGAGAGGAAAAGAAGAAAGCTTGAAAGGAACTGAAAATCGAAAAAGATTCGTAAAGAATTACCTCAAAAAGCTCGCAATTCGTCAATCTCTAAGGAGTTGCAGAAATAAATGGTCTCGGCGCAGGGTGTTCAGAGAATTTAAGGAAAGAAGTTCAGAGAGAATTTGCAATAAGTGAGTTCGCAGTGGGAATTCAGAGAATATTCTTGTGTTTAAAGTATGAAGTAAATGAGAATTTGTGAAGAGGGGCGCATATATACTTCAAAATTTAGAAGATCAACCGCCCAAAAACCCCACAAATTCCAGATTCAATTCAGTGCTTACACATGTTCCTCAAACCATTAAAACATCAAATTCTTTTAAACTTCCCCAATTATTCTCATCAAAGGCAATCTGTCATCAGTAATTGTCTCATCATTCCAAGTCTAGTCAAGGTCAGCAATCTGTTCTTCAGCTGCGCAAAAATCCGAAGCTAAGCTCAGTCAAGATCAGTCATTTGTCCTTCGGCTGCACCAGAATCCAAACCCAGCCCGTCTTTCATCCGAGCCGGGTCTGGGGGGCAAGTTGTTTGGGTCCAATTTCATTAATCAATTGGGCCTAGTCCAAATAACTTAAATTGCAAGCCCAAAGCAAAGGTCAACATCCTCCCAATCATGCTAAGGTCAGTCAACGGTCCAGTCCATTTGGCAAGCCCAAGTGACTTCCGGCCCAATCCATACTCCACAATGCCAAGGTATAAAAGCCATTCATTTGGTCCATTCTCTCTAATGCACAAAAAGCCTCAAGCAACTAAGATCTTGCATAGCTTTCTCTCTCTAAAATATACTGACTTAAGCATCGGAGGGGTCTTCCTCGGCTACACCCCCGGGGCTAGTTTACGTGTATTTGTTGTGCAGGAAATCCTCGGCTCCGCAGCTAATTGGACCGAGACCGACTTTCCCCTCTAGTTTGGGCCTTCTCAAGGTCCTACTGATTTCGTACCGAAACACATAGTTATCACCTTCCTTTTTTAGACGACTTGCATTGAGCTTTTACAAGAATATCTTGTATCGAAAAATCTATATCGTCGTTACATTTCATATTTTCTCCTTCATCCTGAGAATTATAGTTTGATTTTATCATATATTTATAATAAAATAACTAATAATATCATTTTGACTTAAGTTAACTAGGGTTAAACTTACAATTATGGATTAATGTCATTAATTTTACCACTGAATTAGTTTTAACTATTATAGATTACCAAATAAAAAAACCGTAAGAGCACTATTGAGAATTTCCCATTAAAATAAAAGGGGTTAAGTGTTTTTTATATTTTATTTATTTACCTATATATATATAATTTAATAATACATAGCAGTACATAGCATTTATATTACATAGCGTGGTATTTGTCACGTACGATAGACTCTCCCAGAGCCTTAGGGCTAGCAAATGGATATGATATACTCCGTCTTTTTTTTGTTTTTTTTTTTTTGAACAATATAGTTATTACAGTAGTTAATTTACTTATTTTCTTTAAAAAAAAAAAAATAGAACAAGGGTTAGATTAAAGCGAATAGGTCGAACCAAGAAATTGGAGTCGCTAGTGTGTTTCATAAGGAATTATATATAATAAGGCACCTCATGCTCAATTGCGCCTAACGATCAAGCTGAAGTTCGGAGAATTGAACAAGGGTTTTCTCTGTGTTTCTAAGGTGATAAATTCATAAAATTTTATTTACCAAAAAAAAAAAAATTAAAGCAAAGCTTGGAGTCCATCGTTCATGGATAACAAGTGTTCATGGACATCAAGTATCATCAATTGCGGTGATCCTATCAAGTTACCCTTCCGATACATCCATCCCAACTTAGCTCTCAATCTTGATGAAGTTCCACAAATTCAAAATGATAATACGCAAGTCTTGTTAAACCGCAAGAAGCTTCACTTAGTTCTTGATTTGGACCGTACCCTAATTCATGCAAGAAAGATCAAGAAGTTCAAAGTCTAAGCATAGACAAAACATAAGAGGCATGATGTGCGATGGTATTTCCGAGTTTAAGCTTTCGAATGGCAATGAGTATGTTGTGAAATTAAGGACCGGTGTAGATGAGTTCCTTGAGCTAGTTAGTACTATGTTCGATTTGTCGATATGCACCATGGGAAACCGTGAGTATGCTCACAAGGTGGTTGAAAAACTCGGTGGATTGGAGAAAATTTTGTGGGTGATCTCTAGGGAAGATTGTGTGAAGGCAAAGCAAAAGACGTTGGATGTGGTGTTATCATGTCGAGAAGCAACATTGATTGTGGATAATACCGAAAGTGTTTGGGAGGAATCTTGTAAGGCAAACCTAATAAAAGTAATCGGTATGATTATGATTTTTTTCCTTTAGAGGAAGAGAAAGAGGAGTTGGATAGGGAGCTTGCCAGGGTTCTTGATATATTAAGGGATGTTCATAATGGATTTTATGACGTTGGTAATAAAAAGGATGAGTATGGGAAGAAAGATGCAAGAGAAGAGCTTGAAAAGGTTATGATAAGCCGGGGATTAGGTTGTTCGAATCAAGAACAATATGACTAAGGTGAAAAGCTTGGTGATGATGAACTTGTAGCAACGAGCAAGCCAAAGAATTTAAGAATTAGACTTAATGGAGTCTTGCTACAACGTGATTTTACTCTGACGACAAAAAGGCGCAAGACACAAGATGCAATCAACAATACTTCATTATTTAATGTAACGATGTTCGTATAATTTAGTTATGTAGAATATGCCTTTTTGGGTGCATGATCAGGTTCCATTGTTTAAAGATTAAATTACTTGTATGTTAAATAAAAGCTTATATTTCGAGTTCAAAAATAATTGCTATAAAATCAAGTCTTTTATGACGATTGAGAAGTAATGGCAGAATTATAGTCAGTGGCTGTTTGTATATTACAAAGAGATGGCTGAGCGTCTGAGACCAACTGTTGGATAACCAAGCTTGTGAAGGTTGCACAAGTTGGAGACTGCTAACACTCCTAACAGCCTAACACAACGGTGAGCTTAATGAGGATCTGAATCTACAAGACATCGAATAATGGTCTGGGTGCACAGACAGTGGTATGAGGGATGGCAACAGCAATGACAGTTGATCCAAGAACGGTCTCTTGATATAGTTCCAATATTGCTGAGTACAAGCACAAGGGAGAAGAAGTCCAGAATAGTTGCATTACTTAATATTCTTAGGTACAATGTACAAGTATATAACTGAATTTGTTTGACTAAAGCTTGTGATTATACTGAGAATGCTAGTTGCTAACGAGGTAAATCACGTAACAACTAACAATTGATGATAGAATTGATAAATGGCAACGCGTAAATCGAACAGCATAAGGTTATTATGATAGCAAGCTAGGCAACTAAACGGATAATCCACAGAATGAAATTATAAACTACTCAAGTACACCTACAGAACACATCAGTAACACAATCACCATCCTGTGGCTGATTCAAACATTTTAAAAAAAAGGCACCTACTTAAAGGGTCTCTGTCAGAATCACATCCATTCTGAGGGTTCTGCATGAAACTGCAGATATTTAGCACCAGATAATCATATAAATAAGGTCTAATCCTTAGATGACTTGTTAATGAGAGATTTGTGGATGTGAGGAATAACTCCACCACCAGCAATAGTTCCTTTGATCAGTGTATCAAGTTCCTCATCTCCACGGATAGCCAGCTGCAGATGCCTAGGAGTGATACGCTTCACCTTCAGATCCTTACTTGCGTTTCCTGCAAGCTCCAATACTTCAGCAGTCAGGTACTCGAGTATGGCTGCAGTATAAACAGCAGCAGTTGCACCGACCCTCCCATTTGCAGTTACCCTAGTCTTGAGCAGACGGTGAACACGACCCACAGGAAACTGCACATTAATCAGAAAGATATCTCAGCAAAAAAAATAGCTCACCGATATTACAACATCAGATATCATCTTATACATAACTGTGCAGCAATAGTTGATGCAAAGAGCAAAGAGCCATAATACGAGGCAAATACCCCAAAAAATGAAGCATTTGAAGTGCTAATTTGTAGTGTTTATAAAAATACTAAAGCTTACAAAAAATAAAGTTCTCTTTTAGGACTTCTTTTTATTTGAAATAAAAAATGTATGTGATATTGCAACATTAGCTGGAATTATGATGACAAAATTCTTATATATTCTCAACTTTTTGCAACAAAATTTGTCAATTAACATAATCTGATCACATAATGCACCATCTATTTTGGCACTATGTCCATAAATATTTTCAAAACAAGGGCATGTCAACGAATCAAAAATTAATTACAAATCAAGTAAGGCATATAAATTTACTATTTACTCCACAAAGAGCTACCAAAACTATATTGCAGCTTCACCAGAATTCCCTTAAACTAGATTCCTCCTGATTCGGGCTTTATTATTTTATTGCCAGCACCAATTATAAAGATGCAACAAACAAGCTGAACTAAATTGGAATAAACACTACCAAGTATACTTTTTCTGCATAGAATGATACATTTCACAACTAGAACAAATAATAAAGAAATTCTTCTATAAACACTAGCCAAAAATGTAATTCATAGAATTATCAAAGCTAAAGTAGCTACAGAATGATCCATGGCTTTATGTTTCTTTTTTCATTATTGAAGGGAGAATGACTTGCTACTATGTAGTAAGATACTGATACCAGATCCAGAATGTTTCAACCGAACTTCTTTTTCAATTTCTGTTTTTACTTTTTAGTTTTGGCAATGAATCCAGTTGTAGACATTGTCCCCTCACCTCCTTAGAGCATATGCATAATAAATCATTCAAGCAAGATCTCTCTCGGAAAATATGACACTATCCAATACAATCTTCCTAATCTCTCACATTTTAAACTTGTAAAACCTCAAAGGGAACTGCTGCAGTTTGGTTGCTGTAAGAATTCAAACACACTCTATCACCATACTACGGAAAAGAAAGTCATTCTTCAGAGTCCAGAACTTTTTCTTTTAACCTTTGATTTGATCACTAAAGATTGATTGTCATTCTATTCATGGCTTCAAGCTCAAGATAAAAATAGCATAATCAAATGATCAATCTCATTGTCCCGCCAAGATAAATGCGACACAAAAAACCTCAATTTTCAACTTCAAGTTTCTCTGAACGACACAAAGGTTATATGTATCACTTTATAATATGATGTGTCCTGCTTTTGACAGAATTTTCAAAGACTAAGATGCTAACAACCTTACCCTATACAGCCCTATCATGTCTTTGGATTAATAGTTGGAGAAAGAACAGAAACCACAGATACAATAGCAAAAACAAGGCAGTCTTCTTTTACAAATGCAGATGAACTATGCAAAACAGCACTGTGGACTGAAAGGAAGCAGATGGAGAGGACAATTCTCCAAACACTTGATCATTTATGAATATGACTAACCAATAACACTCAATAAAAACAAGACCTCATGAGATTCGTCGTCGTATTGAAGAACCTTGAACCTGTTATTTGTGACTTTAATGACTCAAGATTGACCAAAATTGAAGCTTTAACAAAAGCACAAAAAACAAATTTCCGAAAGACTAATAATACAACTGGCATCATAAATCAGTCAACTAATCCTAACCAAATTCACTTTATTAATAATGTTAGCTTCTAACAAATAGCACCACAATTAGCCAGAACCCAAGTGAAATCTCATCACAAAAACTTGACGGTCTCGAATTAATAAAAAAGCCGAGTTTTAAACTTCACATCACTGAAAGGTTAATTCTACCATAATACTTGCCCCAAAACCAGCACATCCAACAAGCATTACAATAGTTCATACCCGAAATCACAACATCAATTCAAACGGAACAACTAATGACAATTAACACAATCCCCCATCTCAAAAAATCCCAAATCAAGAATTTCAGAACCAAATTCAAAAACCCAGAAATCCCATCACCTAATCTCATGAATATCATATCAAATAACACAACCAAAAGACAATTTAAGTGATTTGAACAAAACCCAACAAGCAAAATTCCTCAAATTTTGAACAAACAAGCGTAGATCTACAAAAATTACATCAAAAAAACCTAGAAAAAAAACCAGAAAAAGGGAAAAGAAAAGACCTGAAGACCAGCACGAGAAGAACGAGAAATGGGGGCTTTCTTATCTTTGTCTTTATTCAATCCGGAAGATTTGCCAGTAATCAAACCCTTCGCTCCTTTGCCTGACATTTTTGGGGTTAATTCAAAAAATTAAGGGGTTTTAGTTTCCCTCCCAAAAAGTAGAAGAAGAAGAACTTTGAATTGGGTTTGGGAATTTGCGGAAAACACCCGGATTGCCAAAGTGGATTTTCGGGGAGGAGAGAGAAAGAGATAGAGAGATGGGGAGATTGAGGGGAAGTGTGGGTTTTTGATTTATACTTGGAATCGAGCTAGGAGAGAGAAAGACAGAGGTGGGCGAAGAGGAAACAACTTCTTGAGATTTTATTGATATGACTAGGAGTTGACGATACCATCCCTTCCACCACTCTTGTTTTCGAAAGATGTACCCATATTCATATTCGAGTATTCTGTATTTTGTTTTGACTTTTAAGGTATTTTTGTTTAGACCTAATCAAATTGGTCCGGTTCAATCCGATTTGATTTTTAAGTTTGAGGGGTTTGGGTAACCTACAAATTCATTTTTAGTTAAATGTTAAACTGACCTAATTTTGACTCAAAAATCCCGCTATTTTTGGGCTAAAATAGCAGGTTTGAGCACGGTTTTCTTGACCCAAAACCTTGGTAAATATGAGCCATTTTTTAGGGGTAAGGCCCAACCCGTGATCACCTCTAGATGAAGAGTTCTACGGCTAGATCCACATGGGTTATCTTGGCCAAGATTTGATGAGTTATACTATGCACTTTTGAGGCGGATATATTTAATGTATTTATTCATTTATATCGTATTCTATTTAAGGTAAGCCAACTTTTAATATCTTAGATAGCACTTTATTTCATAGTATTCACACATTTTCACTCGCTTTATTTACTAACAATTCATTTGATAATATATTAATATAATGATTCTATAAACATAAGGTTAAAGTTTATTAGTTAAACTTGAAGATTAAATCAGGTTTTGAACCGAATATAGTCTAAATGTTGAAAATTCATATTGTATTTAATATTTATATACTATCCCGATTCCTTTTTGTGGTTCTTGTTGCGCATACTATAACATTAAGGGCTTGTTCTCTTCACCTTATAAAAATAAGTTTCAGGTCTAATAAATTCAGGGATGAAGCCAAGGGGGGGCTGATGGGGGCCATGACCTCTCCCTTGGCTCAAGATAAAATTTAAATTTGCTCCATAAGTTTTAGTGTAGAGGAGTTGTTATTTCCATACGACAGCGGACAAGATGTCAAGAGATCAAATCCCTTTTTTTTTGGTAGGAAAGTCAAGAGATCAAATCTTGTAACTAACAAGTTTTGTGTTTTATTTTTTGTAGTAAATGTAATAAATTCAATAGTTGCGAAATTATAAATACATAGATATGATCTTGGGGCCCCTTAATTAAAAATTCTGGCTCCGCCACCGAATAAGTTCAGATAAACTACAATAAGGTCCCAAAAGTTTAATAAGGTCTAGTAAGTTCAATAAGATTTAATAATAAGTTCCAATAGGGTGTGTTCTATTCACCTGATTTTTACTTATCTGATCTTATTAGAACTTATCTTAACTTATCTGAACTTATTAGCCCTTATTAGAACTCATTTTAGTTATAAATTGAACTTGGGTAGCCCTGATTAACCTTTATCACAACTTATCTGAACTTATTTTCCTGAACTTATCTTATTTGAACTTATTAACCCTTATCTGAACTTAATTTTTCCTGAAATAAGTGGAAATAAGGTGAACAGAACAGGGTCTAAGTTAAATAAGGTCTAATAAGTTCCAATAAGTTAAATAAGGTCTAAGGACGTGTTCAATTCACCTGATTTTCACTAATTTGAACAACTTATCTTAACTTATCTGAATTTACCTGAACTTATCTGAACTTGTTAGACTTTATAAAAACTTATTTTAGTTGTAATTTGTACTTGGGTAACCCTTATTAAATTTATTAAACCTGAACTAAACTTATCTAAACTTAAGTGAACTTATCTGAATTTATTACACCTGAAATAAGTGACAATAAGGTGAGCAGAACAAACTCTAATAAGTTCTAATAAGGTATAATAAGGTCCAATAAGTTTCAATAAGGCCCAATAAGTTCTAATAACTTCAACCAGGTCTAATAAGTTTAATAAGGTTTGGTCTAATAAGTTTAATAAGGTCTAATATAAGTACAAATAAGTTCAGGTAAGTTCAGATAAATTCGGGTCTAATAATAAAGTGAAAAGATCACACCCTAAAAACTATTGTTTTGGGTTTTTAAAAATATGAAACATCAATGTTTGAAAATATAGATAGACTAATACGAATATAACATCTCACATAATTACATCATACGAATTGAAGTTATTGAAATCATTTGACTTATTAATGATTAAAGATATTAGTTATTATAATAATGTATCGTCAAGCATAAAAGAGAAGTGTTGCAATTTTATTAGTACAACAAAAGAAATATACATTTAATAAGAATTTTTTGTTAAAGTTTGACCTTAAAGTCAAAACAAGAAAATCATTTTGGGGTGTGATTATATAGACTATTTGGATACATATTTGTGGGATTATGTAGACTACTTGATTACATATTTCCTTACATTTAAAAAAATAAATTATATTCTATGATTCAACTTAAGAGCCCCAAAAAAAAAAAAAAAAACACCTTTCTGCATGTCCAATTAGGCAATTAGCCCTTGAAAAGAAAATTACGGAGTATAATGTTGTGAAATATAAATAAGAATTCAAAACTATTGACAAAAGAATATACTTGCATATATGTAGTTATTTAAAAAAAAAATAAAAAAATAAAAAAAAGTAATAATCTGACTAATCTCCCATGCTACACTACTGCGTATGAAATTTTATGATGAAAATCCTTCCATCATGATGTAAACGTAGCCTTGTTCTTCGCTAGATGTTCTCCTGCATTATTTAAGGGGATATACATTATTTTAATTATCACATAAATAGACTTGAAACTCTCAAATTTAAGAGGGATATACATAGCAAATTTAGGTAAAATAGTGGATAGAAATCAAGTGAAGAAGATGCATGAAACTCTTAATAGGGATAATAAACACGAACAAAACCACATACTCATGAACAGTTTATAATCAGTTTGTACTAATTGGTTCATTTGTTGATTAGCCAAACTCGATTTTAATTTTAAAGCTCGAATAATAATATCAACCGAGCTAAACTCAATGTCTAATTAAGGTATTTGTCTTGTACACCTTACATATTTTATTAGATTGTTATATATCCTCTCTCCAAAGCCAAAATAATTAATAGAATGACATAGATAAGAAATTTTTAGAACAATAAGACTTAAGCCAAATACTACTTATATATCTAATTAATTAACAACATTATTATTTATATACTGATTGTCAGATCATTCAATGTTTTATCAAGCTCAAGTACAAATTCAAGTTCAGATTAAACTTAGTTTATTTATTATTATCAAGAGAATCTCATACATCATTTTAAGTTCAATATCAATCTCGATAAAACTTACTCGTATTTAGCAAAATCAAGTCGTCTAGTCATGATAGAATCCGTTTCACCTCGACTCATGGCTAAACCTAACATTACTTTAACTTCATCTTTTAACTTTAAGTTTGTTTGTTGAATTGGATTTTCTTGGGTCAAAAGGGGAAAAAAAGTACCTCTTGTAGAAAATAAAAGCTGCAAATCCAAGAGCAACAAGCCCAACAAAGATGAGAAATGCGATCATCCAGTTGGATGTTCTACTATGCCTTCTTTCCTTTTCTTTGCCTTTGCTCACTACGCAACTTTGAAAATTGCATGTCTCTCTTACTATGGGCTGCCAATTCAAAAAAACAAGCTTACATTATGAAAAAAAATCATAGCTATAATTAATAACTAATTCAAAACTCCTTTATTTTTAAAAGTTATCAGGTAAATAAATTATCAAATTATTTTTACGGACGAAATACAATACAATTATTGGAGCCAAATAATCAAACAAAAAAGGTTTTAAGAAATTATAACACTTTACATCAATCTAAACTAACCCAACCCGTTTCGACGAGTAAACATCACTAAATAATATTGCCACACATCAACGATCCAAGAGTTTTTATATTCTAAGCCCAACAAGTTTTATTGTTATTTTAATAATAGCATATCCTGTTGAAACATATGGCTAAATTAATTTAAACAATATAACAAAATTACTTAACAAATAAAACAGAAGTCAGGATGGCCGAGTGGTCTAAGGCGCCAGACTCAAGTTCTGGTCTTCGAAAGAGGGCGTGGGTTCAAATCCCACTTCTGACATTTTTGGCTTCTAATTAATTTCATACCGTATTAAGTGTATACTTTTATTGAAGAATATAAATTAATATTTACAACAATTAATGATACCTTCTCATCTCTGTCAGGATGGCCGAGTGGTCTAAGGCGCCAGACTCAAGTTCTGGTCCTCTGATGAGGGCGTGGGTTCAAATCCCACTTCTGACATTTTTTTTTGGCCTAAATTTACAAACAAAATTTTTTCCCTAAAAACTTTATTTCATTTTCCCAAATCTCCAAACAAAAGAAAAACCTTACATGTTGGATGTAGTAATATACATTAGTCACATACGAGTACTTCGTAATAACTTATTTTCTTTACATATTTTTTTTTGTATCAGTAATTTTTATAGGTAAGCAAATCAAACGGTTTATATTATAATAGTAATTGTTCGATATTATAGGTCAAGTCGTGGAAATATGATAACACTTTATAAAGCGATAGTGTAAAAGCTAATCGTCATTTTGTAACAATCGAATGCATCCTGAATATCATTGCATAGAGAATGAACATACTTAGGCCAATATAGGAATATTAGCACATCAACTCATAACATTGTTATGACTTACGAGTAGTTGAGTAATTCTATAAACTTAAGGACTCACCTTTTCTTGATATGAACATTGCTCATCATATACTGGATAATCAGGGGATGAAGTCTCCTCAATTACTGCATAACAATCGACTCTTCGACTCCGAATCCCACCACCACAAGGAGATGAACACGGTAACCACGGTCCAACAACCCATTGAAACACCTCTACAATGTAAAACAGACTTCAAATGAGATGTACAGAAGAACATGCTGTATAAATGAAACAACAATTATACATACTAGCAGTATTACATAACAAATTAATATACCTTTTGGCTTTGGCTGTGAAATCAATTCAGCACCACTTTTACAGTACCCTGATGAAGTATCACCATAGACCATATCCGGATAAGTGCAGTCTGCACAACAGACGAATTCGTCGCCATCTTCCACCTTATTCTCACACTTCTTGCACCCATCTTTCACCTTTGTGGGACTTCCTGTCGATCGAATATGTAAATAACAAGCTTCATTCTAAGAGAATTGTCATCGCATATTCTCACAAACGGAATCAATACTAATTAATAGCCACACATACTATTTAAACATGGCTAAAAAATATGTCACGTTTCCCAAAATATAGTAACGGTATGGTTTATGATTGAATATCTTAACATGAAACCATCAAAGAAATTAAATTACCGGCTATGCAACAGTAAAAATGTGTATGGTCAGGAGGACAGGATGAATACTTTTTCCCCTGGCATTGGCCATAGCAGGTGTTTGACTGATTATACACAAGACCTCCACATTCTCCCTTCAACTTATGTAGGCATGTTTTAGTCCAATAGCATCCTAAATTTTCCATAACAAACAACCAATTATTAGAATTTATCAACTAAGTTTCAAAAATTAGTACAAATTCCATATGTAACTCATATAAAAAGAATAATATCATTATATGCTCCCTTCCATTACATAGACATAATTATACCCCGTATAAATTCACTTGTCACATTAGTCGTATATTATTATTTCAATTTATGCTATCAACAGCTCAACACGACAATTAATTCCAGACAGAAGGAGTAAACATTATGAACAGAAAAGGTTAGAAGGGGATTACCTTGGGAGGGGAAGTCCTCTGAAAAAGCAACAAAAAGTTTAGAGAAAGAGAGGGCTAGGAGGAGCTTCCACCCCCATTTTGCTTTCTCCATTGAAATTCTTTATTTTATGACCAAAAATTTGATTTTTGTTGGATTAAAGGGAAGTTTTGGAAGGTGGCTTTAATTATTAATACTTCTTATTATGCACCAAAACATGCTTGGTCAAATTAATTACATGTAGGAGGAACTTCCATAGTTCCATAATCATTCATTTTCTCAATTTCTCTCTCCATTGACATTCTTCAACACCAAAAGTTTTGATTGTTGGTTAGTTGTATTGAAGGGGAATTTTGGAGTGAAAGCTTGTTTAAAATATTTTAATGGAAAAAAGTTCATGATATTAGATTATTAGTACTCTTATTTGGCATGCACCCAAATAAAAATTAAATTATAAGTCGGACGTTATGCATTATGCAACATGGACAATTTTATTTACCAAAAAAAAAAACCATGGACAATTTTAGACGGCGACGTTGTTGATGTGTGTTGTAGCTGACCATGTATGTGCTTGTATACATAAAAATAAACTTCTAACTTCTTAGTAATTATTCGTCAAAAAAAAAAACTTCTTAGTAATTAATTGTAATCTTGTTCCAAGTCTATATGAGGTATATGACTACCATAATTTTTAGAGTATATTTGTTGATGTATTGACAACTGTATTTTATATTATACATCTCCGCAACTTAACGTAGAACAATCTATTTACTCATTACTCAAAACTCCATATCACACATCACTAGAGAAGTAGTCATACTTTAATTTATCCGTATAATAAAGGCAGTATTTTGGTTTTTTATATAGGCGTGTAAATGCATTTTTAATTTTTTTTTTTTTATCATTGATGTTTAAATGAGAATTTTGGAGAATTTGGATAATGATACTAATATTTACACTATTTTTTTTTTTTTTCAACACACTTCGAAATTGAAAACTCAAACTTGACGGATTTTCCACCCTTGCATCCATGTTAATTAAAGTCGATAATTATTTTTCAACTTCACATAAAATAAAGTCAATTGTTCATATTTATGTAACAGAATGAAGTGGAAACTGAGTGGTAATTGATAAATGATTGTTAGGTTCAAACACGGATTCATATCATGGATTGATTGTGATGAGCTATATAGTTGTGGTGGATGTGTCATGTTTCGTGCAATGTACTAATTACATACACATACGAAATTCATCAAGATGTGCTAGTGTCATTGTTCAAGGTCGCTGATTTAAATAATTAAATAAATAGCATTTGGCAAAATTCACATTTTGCTTTGACATTCATATCCCAACTTGCATAGTTGCATGTGCTATATTCTAGAACTAGTTTAGATCCCGTATATATATGGAGATTACTAAGATTTTTTTACAATTAATTAATTAAATCAATTGACACATGATTATTGTCTAGCATTTCTAAATTTGTAATAACAAATATTGGCTTTTTTTAATAAGAATTTTTTTATACATAAAAGTTATGATATATTGTTTTATACTTTTTATTACCTTCTTTTTTTTATTATTGATTAGAACTTTTATAAAATTTAAATATTTCGATTTTTATTTTTACAACTTAAGATAAATTTTAATTAAAAATAAAATTTGGAAAAAACTTCTTGGCCAAATTTTTTATCAAAGAATGACATGTGTCAGTTCAACATTCGCTTTTAGTATATGTTTATATATTTTTATATAAAAATAATAATTAAGATATTATTGTTTCATTGTTACTAAACCCTTTCATAATTAATTACCACAAAAAGCAGGGAAAGGACATTAAGATTCTGATTAAGGGTGCAAGCATGCAAGTTAGAGTGTAACAATATGGCCAACTAACCATTAGTCAATGCCTCAATAGTCATGGACTCATGGGTTAGAGAGAAAGAGAGAGTATAAAGAAATTAAATGCGAAGGAAGAGAAAGATAGAAAGTTTGATGACCAAGCAAATCTATCTATACTAGCTAATCATATCATATCACTAATATATAAAGCCGGTCTCGCACCCAGGTCACGATACAACGAAACTTGGCATTCCAGTTTTTCGTTAAGTGTCGCGCCACGTAGGCGAAATATAGGTATTATTGTGACACATAGGATACCAAGTAAGCGAATTTTGGATAGATTTTTTTAAGATAAAAATGTTGTATAGTGTTTTATTATCAATATACTTCTAATATTTCATATATACAAAATTAATTATAACTTTTAATAAATATCTTATAACTTAGTACTATTTTCATCATTAAATTCGTTTTAAAAAGTTTTTTAAAATGAGATCCATTTATAATATACTAGATGTAAGCCCATGCGATGCACGGTTTTTTAAAATAAATCTCATGAAAAGATAGTTTTTGTATAAAATTTTGATTAAATTATTATTATTTGTTAAAGATAATTTCTATTAATTTTATGTAATTTATAATTCCCGTGTGATTTTTTTTGTTTTTAAATAATATAAAACTCTCAAGTCTTAGCTCATGTGATGATTATTTGGATAAAAAATTTAATGTAAAAGATGATTTTTTTTTTAATTTTAAAAATAATTTAAATGCTAAATCACTATTTATAGATTTTTTTAACCTAAGTGGCATGTAAAATTAAATATATCAAATCTCATTCTATAATTTTGGTTTTTTTTTTAACATATAACTTTGTATAATTTTTAGTTTTTAAAATAATTTAAATTTTAATATTTAAAGATATATTTTAGTTCTTAAAAGAAAGATAATTTTTATTTTTTAAATATATTTGTTGTTTTTAATTATCTATGTGGCCAAATTCTCAAATCTATCTCATAAGTCACTTTTGCTTTGGTGGCAAGTGATTTTTTTAATTCTAAAATAAAATATACAAATCTAATTTTTAATTGGTCAAAATAATACTAATAATACCTTTGCTTATGTGGTGCGCTGAATGCTAAAAAAATGCCTACTTTAAATATAGGTAAGATGTATTATTAAAAAATAATAATAAATAAAGCAGGTATACCATTTAACCATAGAATCATCAACTTCGTTCACAACGATACCTACTGCATCTAACTAACAAAAGTGGATAAATAGAACACAAAAATGTTAGGATGTTAGCAAAAGTAAAATTGATAAAAAAATTAGTCTTTACAATTTTATAAAATAAATTAATATATTTATCAGGAAGAGAAAAATTGTTACGAAATTGATCTAATTCAATCAATATTGGAAGAAAGTGTTGAACAAAGTTGGCTTTAATTGAGACATGAACGTAATCACCCTATAATTAAAAATAAGAAATTAAGTTAATTTAATAACTTAATAAAGCCATCTAAATCACAAAGTTTTTGGTTTTTTTCATGAAATTAATTAATAAAAAACTACAAAGATGACTATTTAACAATTTAAGCCAAATATCAACTATGTTGTTAATATATAAAAAAAAATTATATAAATGCAAACCACAAGCTTCAATTTAAGAATAACTCAATTTTGGTTTGAAAACGACAGTTTTAATTTTGAAAAGGCTTTGATAAAATTTATCGATTGCACGTTTACAACAGTAGCAACCTGGAACAACGCACGGGCTACTAACTAGTTAAAGTCATGATATATTGATGATGACCAAATTCAATTCACGTTTTTAGTCATCTTGTGAAATGTTGTAATGTGGCATGAGGAATAAATACTTTACTTTTTTTTTTTAGTTATTTTTACATTTACTTAAGAATAAAAAAAAAAATATGAGAAAAACAAGAGTGATTTCCATGAAAATTGTTTAAACAAAACAAAATTCCACAGTTACTCTATTTTTGTTAAAATTTCCCTATATATCGTCCATGTCAGCTTATTAAAAGATCGATTTTTTTTCTTTTTTTTTTCCGATTCAGCATAAAACGGCTAATTTAATTATCAAATTTACCATACATAAAACCGTTAATTCAATTAGCGGTTAGACATAAATTAGTAAACAAAAAAATAAATAAAAATCAAGCGATCCATACTAAATTACTAATTATGAAGTATAATAATGTTACACACACCTAAACTAATATCAATTTTGAATTTAATTAGAAATTACAACATCAATTATAAATTAATAAAAAAAAAATCATATTAGGGCAAACTAATCTGATCTCTTTATTTGCATAGAGTGATTGTTGCTGCTTGTGGTTGTGGGTGATGGCGTTGGGTGGAGGCCGACATCGAGCGACGGTGCATAAGCCCTGGCCTGACCATGGTAGCGTTGTTGAGGGAGGTTGCGCACCACGATAAGTGAGGAATACTAGAGAGTAGAGCATTTATTTTTCACTTCTTTTTTTATGGAATACCAATCAAACGGCTAGATTAGGAAATCATGAATATGGTGAAACTATAAACCGCTACTGAATTAGCGATAAAAAAAACTCGGTTTTTTTTAATTTGCTGATGTGGACGGTATGTCGGGATTTTTTTATCAAAAGTAGAATAATTGTGGAATTTTGCAGGTTTGTTTAATTTTCATGGAAATCACTCGAAAAAAATGTTAACTAAATAAACTTGGGTAGTTTATATATGTGATTACTTTGTCATAATGACATAATTGTACATATTTAGGTATGTGTGAGCTAGAGTGGAAAGAGTTCAAAGTTTAGACAGATGACCAAAACTTTTTTTTGGTTGCAAAATAGGCCAATCTTGAAAAATCTATTATATATATAAATAAAGTAGGCATTTTTGGAGAGCATTCAGCGCGCCACCTAAGCAATGGTATATTTTCGACCAATTAAAAATTAGATTTCTATTTTATTTTGGAATTAAAAAAATCGTTTGCCACCTAAACAAAAGTGACGAATGAGATTTAAGAATTTTTCCACGTAAGTAAAAACAACGAATATTGATTTATTAGGATTTAGTTTATTTAAAAAACTAAATATTATCTTTTAAAATAATCATCTTTAGATATAGGATTTATATACCTACTATTATAAGATAAATTTTGATAGTGTTTAAGATAAGAAATAAAAAATATTTCTTAATTATAATTAAATTAAAATTTGTGATATTTACCATTATAAATTGACACATCATATGACACCAACAAAATTTCGTATCAATACAAAACCAAACTAAGCAAATTTTGTGTCATTAATTCTGTGTCAGTTTTATTAGGTCATCAATGGCTGGGTAATTCTTAGCCTAAATTTTCAAACCCATGTTTAAATGTATATTTGTGATTATTGCTTAAATTGTGTTTATTTGGGATACTTAATATTATATGTTTATGTTTTGTTTACTGAATTTTGTTTTTACATGCAGGTCTAATTTAATCAGAGAATTATATTCGAGCAAAAATCTTTGGAATATCAAAGTACGAGTTTCTCGCCTGATGATCCTATTGGATGAGGAGGTATTATATCTTTATAAATCGTTTACATTTATTAACTTTTAATGAACCTTTTAGTTTTTATCAATTAATTTTATGACTAAAACAAATTTTTTGTGATTTAATTAATCAAAAATATTATGAATATGATCTAATTACAAAAATTAATTTTATGAGATTTTATGTATAAAAAACCGTAGGATATTAGGATTTAAATTATTTTAAAAAAAATTATCTTATAAAATTAATGGTTTTATCTAAATACCCGATTAATTAGATGGTTTTTTCATAAAATATTAAAACTTATAATGCAATAAAAAAACTTTACCTTCTTTAAACATTTTATGTCTAAAAATTTGAAAATACAGATAATTTGTTAGAGATCACAAGAAATATACAAAATGATATATAGATTTGAGAGTTTAATTTCAAGTGTAAAAAGCAACGAATTATGATTTAGGATTTAAATTATTTTAAAATAAATATTAGTATCTTTTCACATTAAAGATTTTATCCTAATATGTAATCAATGAAATATCATATTTACAATTTTTTTTTGAAAGATATCATATTATTGTCATATAATTAGCAACAACGAATAAAAATACAAATACAAAACAACAATAAATTAAGTCGCATTATAAATTACATTAAAAAAAATTATAATTTTGTAATTGGCAATATCATTTTAATTAAATTATTATTTGGTTTTTTTTTTGTCTGAAATTATGAAATTGTAAAATAAATCAAATAATTATATTAAAAAAAAGCTTAGAGTATATAGGAAAATATCTTTTCTTGAGATATATGTATGAAAAATCGTGCATCGCACGGGAAGTAGGCATTTTTGGAGAGCATTCGGAGCGCCATGAAAGAAATATACTTATTTCGACCTATAAGAAGAAATAGTTGTATTTTATTTTTGAAATTAAAAAATTATGTCGCCACCTAGGTAAAAGTAACGAATTAGATTTGATATATCTAAAACTTTAATGTCACGTAGATTATAATCCACGAATTAAATTATTTTATTGAAAAAAAATAAAGTAAAAATATAGGAAAATATAAATTTATTAATTCAATAATATGTATATAAGAAATCCAAAAAAAATATACTAAAAAAATATTTAAATGATAAACTCTTATAATAAAGTTTGATACCTATCATTATAAGATAAATTTTTGATAGTATTTATGATAAGAAATACAAATCATTCGTTAATTATAAGTAAATTAAAATTTGTGATACCTACCATTATAAATTGATACATCATACGACACAAATAAAATTTCGTATCAATAAAAAACTCCATCAAGCGAATTTTGTGTTAGTAATTTTGTGTTAATTTTTGGTCATCAATGGTCGGTAATTTTTAGCTTATTTTTAAACTCGTATGTTTAAATTAGTATTTCTAATTATTACTTACATTGTATTAATATGGGATACTCAACGATTATATGTTTATGTTTTATTTACTAAATGTTTTCTTACATGCAGATCTAACACATCATACGACACAAATAAAATTTTGTATCAATAAAAAACCCCATCAAGCGAATTTTGTGTTAGTAATTTTGTGTTAGCTTTAGATCATTAATGTCCGGGTAATTTTTAAAATCTTATGTTTAAATTTATATTTGTAATTATTAGTTACATTGTATTTATTTAGGATACTTTACGATTATTTGTTTATGTAATGGCATACGATTAGATGTTGTATAATTAATATATGGATGGCTTTGGTTATTTTTGGAGATGATGAAAAAATTCCAATGCAAAGATTTGATTTTATATCGCAACAATTTTTCATTTATTGGTAAATATATTGATTTATTTTATATAAATGTAAAAGTTTAATTTATATCAATTTCAGTTTGGCTAACATTTCACGGTTCAATTTATCCATTGATGTAGTAGGTTGGTTGTGGACGAGGTTGGTGATTCTACCGAAGTAAAAGATATGGTAAAACAATGAATAATGATTTAGGATTTAAATTATTAAAAATTTATCATTTCACATTAAAGATTTTATATAACGGAAAAAAATATCATATTTACAATTTATTTATATTTAATATATTCATTATAAATTATAGTAAAAAAAATATTAAACTTTTGTAATTTTTTCTGAAATTATTAAATACAATAAATCAAATAATTAAAAATCTTAGATGAAAAAATCGTGCATCGCACGGGCTTCCATCTAGTACATAAAGAAAAATAAAACAAATGAATGCGACGTAGCCACACCTATCACATCCTCCTAAAGAAGATCAATTATTTCGATGGGAGGAACATCGAAATAATTATCCTCTCTTCTTGGATAACACCTAATTGACAAGCTTATCCGCTACTTTATTAAACCCCCTCATAATAAAAAAAATAAATAAATAAAAAATAAAAAAAAACTACGATAATTTCTACCTAAAGAATTAATGACACCATGCTAATTCTAAGTGCATCATTTACAACGAGGGTGGGCCATCTCTTAAGTGTCTCTTGAGTCTATTAGAATTGCAAAGAAATCATAACAATCGTGAATGCTAGCCAAAGAAACCCCTGACATGCTTATACAGTTATATGGAGACATGTATGCTCTAAGTATCAAGTATCTTAACATGAATGCTTATGGAGACATTTGGCTTTAGGTATTCTAAGTTAATGACATTCAAAATTGTTGTATCACTCTCAAACTCTAGCTATCACAAATGTGCATTCTAAACCAACATAACCATAAAATAATTCCATCATTCAATACATGTCATCATATGCTTCATTCTAGCCAGTCTACACATATTGAGGTCGTTGTTCATCAGTTAATGGATACACCAATAACTTGTATTTCTTACAATCTTTTATTGCACACGCCTTAAGTGTCGATAAATCCTCTATACTTTAAAATGACATACAACTGACACTACATGCATGGTAAACCAAAGTCAAGATTAGAAATAAAGCCAAAACTAAATATGTTATATTATGTAATATATACCAAGTACTTATGATTTTCCCTACTCTCATCCATGCTTAAATGGACTCTCCTTAGGTAAAATAAATAAATAAGCTAATGGCTTTGAGGGGGAAAAACAACAAAGAATATATGCAAATCTATGCTAAAGACATTTTAATTAAAGTGGTGGTGTCGACTCTTGAACAATAAGAAAAACTTATAATCAACATCTACTATTGTCACATTCTCCACCTCTTTCACAAAAGTATCAAAAAGAGTTTATGTGCATTCTCTCAATAATTTAATTTTCTTATTCTCATTTTCATGAATAAACAATAGTAAAATAACCAATGTTACAAGTTCTAACATGATATTGGCTTGAAAATTTAGCTCGAGTTATTTAGCCAGCCTTTTGTCCTAAAGCCCAGCCCGACACTGTCCACATATCCCAAGTAGATACGACCCTATAGTTATTTTGAAAATAAACAAGTCGATAAAAATCCAATGATTTGGTATTAGCAGCTGAAGCACCAAAACAAACGTATAGAATTCTAGACTCTAGTTATTCAATTTTCATTCCCATTTATTTTCAAAATCCTTTATTTACCTATAATGACATTCAATTTTTAATAGCATCATTTTGCATAGATAACACTACCAATCGAACATTGGAAATTAATTCATCTAATCATCTCCCTCCTTTCCCCCATTATAAATCACTAAGAATCTTATATAGTGCAAAAATTCTAAGAATTTTCTTATTGAAAGAGAAAGGCATCTACATGAAAAATGCTTTTTGATGCTCTTTAAAAAAAAAATAAAAAAATAAAATTAAATTCCAAATATTATTACAATTGGAGTAATTATTATTATTATTATTATTATTATTATTATTATTATTATTATTATTATTATTATTATTATTATTATTATTATTATTATTATTATTATTATTATTATTATTATTATTATTATTATTATTATTATTATTATTATTATTACTAGTATTAAAAAAATTCCTTCCATATTTCACTCCAGAGTGTTAAGCTAACAGCAAAACCGAAAGACCTTTTCATTATCAACCTTTCTTTGTCACTCTCATAACCCAAATCACTTTCAAATGGTTTCGTAAACTCAACATATTTCATTTGATTTTCGTGGGGTATTTTTTATTTATTTATTTATTTATTTTTCTGTATTTTTTTTTATTTCTTTGGAAATCTCTACAATCTTTACACTTGTATTTCTCTGGTAAGTTCGTCCGTTTCTTCTAATTTTAATTCAAAATTTTATTTTTATTTCAGATTTTTGTAGTTTTTGACTGAATGTTATGCATTTATGCAGTTATTGAGAATTAGAGTTAACTTCTTTTCTTAATTTTGGTTCTTTTGCTTAATTTCTTAATGGGTATTTTGTTGAATCTGAAGTTTGGGAGATTTGAATTAATTTTATCGGTTAATTGATTGGGCAGTTCGAGTAAATGATAGTTCTTTTTTTGTGTTTTTGGTTGATATGATGTTTGTAGAAAATTCTAGTTTAATTCCTGTGTAATTGGAGACATTGATTAATGAACGAAATGATGAGCATATTTAAGAATGCTTGATTTTTTTTTTTTTTTTTTTTTTTTTCTGGGGTTTTGACCTTTTTGTTATAGCTTTCTGTATGATTCATAAACTGAAGAAATTGGCAAGTATTGTTCTTTACCTTGATTGATAGCAATGGTACCTTGCATTTGGAAGGTGGGAAGTTTCATGGGTTGGTTTTGTTGAAGGATTGACTTGTTTTAGGTGTGATTTGGATCATGGTATTGTTGGTTATGTTACTCGGACTCGGGTACTTGGGTCGGACAAAAGCAGTGTCCAAGTGTTGGACTCGACTATTTATGAATAATTTCCATGATTGTTGTCTAAGATGAAGTCTCAAGTGTTCATACCCAAGTTGGAGTGTTGAGGATGTTACACGAGTACTTGAGGTGCAATGATGGGTATATGTAGCACATGTTATTGACGATATACTTATGCTGTAGGGTGAGAAAAATGCAATACTCCTCTTCATGGGCATAAATGTTATGATGTTTGAATTTGTGCTCATGTTAATAAGTACAAAGTTTATAGCTGTTTCTTATTTCCTTAAATGTGTTTGAATTATAAGTTATTAGCAATTTTTCGTTTGCTTACCTGATACATCATTTATTTGAGCACCATAAGATGATACACACGGGTCATGTATTAAGTTCATGCCTACTCAACATTAGTCTGGTGTTTTCCATCCTTTCTTTTAATATTGTCTCTTTATCAGTTGATGTCTGTGTTGTGCTCAGTATCTTTTGTTATGCCATGGTCTTCTCAAGCTCTGTTATTTTGGTTTGTCTGTAAATATTGAGCTCTATATCAGATAACATATGCGCCCAATTTGAATGACCAACTTGGTCCCCTTTTCAGGTAGTTAGTGTGTATGTGTATTGTTGGTGTCGGTGAGAAGGGATGAAAGTTGGAGTCATGAATAAGCTTAGGCGCCGTAAGCAGTCTAGTGAGGTGGGTTTGTTTCTTAACTGTGTTTTCTGAATTCATTTAGACGTACATGAAAATTGTCTTGTTCCAATTTTTCATTCCTTTTTGCTGGGATTGTTTTTTCCCTTACTTTCTTTCACCTCTTGATTGTTAAACTCATTTTTCATTGAAGTTATCTGTTGAATTGCCTCTATAAGGCTGCAAGCCATTCTAACTCATCTCTCATTTCAAAATTGATGAAATATTCCCAATTAGATTCCTGCTGATGACACTAAACCAAATGGGGGGAATTTACTTGTTAATGATCGTAACAAGTACAAGTCTATGTGGATCCGTACACATTCTACCCTTTGGATGATTGGGGCCTTTGTCCTCATCATCTACATGGGCCATCTTTATATTTGTGCCATGGTGATGCTGATCCAAATCCTGATGGCAAAGGAGCTGTTTAATCTGCTAAGGAAGGTCCGAGAGGATCGAGATCTTCCTGGTTTTCGGCTATTAAATTGGTGAGAGTTTCAAGTTAATATAATTTAGATTGAATTGCTAGAATTTCATTAGTAGCAGAGGAAATCATGGCATTCTAATACTGTATGTGCTATTTTACCTTTTCAGGCACTTTTTCTTCACTGCAATGTTGTTTGTCTATGGTCGATTCCTCAGTCAGCGGCTTGTCAATACTGTCTCTTCAGACAAAGTATTGTATAGGCTTGTTAGCATTCTTATAAAATACCATATGGTTATTTGTTATTTCTTGTATATCGCAGGTTGGTCAGCTTTCATGTTTTGTTTCTTGTTTTGCAAATGGAGACATAATTGATATATTAATTAGACTATAGTATAATTGCAAGTGTGGAAGGTTTTTTTTTTTTTTTTTTTTTCTCTAGCCCCAAGTGTTCTAGTTGTCTGGAATCTGTCCCTTTACACTGTTTGCTAAGTATATCCTCCAAAAGTGTAAGTATTGTTGCTTGAGACTGTGATACTGTAAGAGACATGCATTCCTTCTATGTTGATGTTTCTAGTCAATAAATACTATTCCTTATGTTACCTGGACTTGGTTATTCTTGTCAGACACCTTTATTTTCCAAGTGTTGGACATGACTATTTCCATGATTTTAGTTTAAAATGAAGTGTGAAGTGTCTCCATACCCAAGTTGAGTGTTGAGTATCTGACATGGGTACAAGAGGTGCAATAAAGAGGCTGAGTGACATAGATGTCTAATTGTCTATTCCCTTATTATAGTTTTCCAATGTTTTTCTAACCAATTCTACTTGTGTGAGCCTGATTGCATTCAGCCTTCAAAGTATAATTTTTAATGTTTCATATTCAATATGCAGATGCTGGGATATGCATAAAGCAAAAATAGAAAAATAACCCATAGGATTATATCTTGTTGGACTGTTTGCGAATTACGATGGGGGGAGGTTGTACTCCAATTTCTAAAAACAACAGTAAAAGCATCAGTTCAGATGTTATCCTTTGTCAGTAGAAGTGCTAACCAAAACTTATTTTATGAGGAATAATAGTTTACTATAGTCACAACTCGCAAGTGGATATACTTAAATATAATTTTTCATGAAAGTACTTATTTACAAAGTATGAAGTTTGTCAGAATGGATGTCTTCATTGTTGTTAGCCTATTTACGATGTTTAAGTGGCATATGAATGTTTTACCATGAGGAACGATTTCAAAGGGGAATCAATAAATAATTGTTTTGGCCATAAGATTTGATAATTGTAAATTATAATATATTATGCTCCGTGAAAAGTTACCACTACTTGTCTATCTTTTTCATTTTTCTTTTTGAAATGCATTCCTTTATCTGGTAAAAAAGTTGCTGAATTTATGTTGCAATTGACTTCAGGTTTTGTGTGGTTTATTCTCTCTCTGAAGAAGAAGATGTACAAGTATCAGTTTGGCCAGTACGCATGGACGCACATGATACTTACTGTTGTGTTCACACAGTCATCATTCACAGTGGCCAACATCTTTGAAGGAATGTTTTGGTAAGAAAACTTACAGTACATAGTGAAAGATGCAAATTAACTATTTTAATTTCCCAATCTAGGATAAATTACCTACAGTTTATGGCAGTTTTCCTTTTTCTCTTTGGCAAAAGAGTGTGAAGATGAATTGTTCTGTTGTTTGTATTCTTATCTGAATTTTCTAAAGCATGGCCAGGTCTCCTTGTGTGACTCAACTTTAACCATATGTGTATGCAAATCTGTAAGAAATTACTAAGTGAGAAATCTTGTTAGATTCGTCTAAATGTCAGTTCTATCTAATCCATTGATTAAAGTTCTTTTGACAATAAGAAAATGATAATAACATGTCCTGACATGGTCGAGTTTGAATATTTTCTGGTTTGGTCTAACCTGGTCTTATAACAAGAATAAATAATAAGCTTCTAAATAAGGTGAAGAGAACATAGCCTTTGTTATATCTTATTACTAAAGATGCCTTGAAAGAAAGCTGCATTACTTTTTTCAGAAGCAAAAAGATAAAAAAAAAGGAAAAAGGAGCGAAGATGTATTGTTTCATCCTTTAGTCTGAATTTGATTGATGCTTGCGTAAGCATAATTCTATTTTAGTTCTTTTTTCTATGCCATATCTTTTATTTCCTCCACTGCCCTTGGGTGCCTCTTATATCATATCTTCTTTTAGTTAGCATGATTGCTTTGTCTAGAGAGGAGGCAGGATGGTGAAGGAACCAGATGTAAAACTTTTCTATGGGGGATTGTCTATAACCATGTAGCACCTTTGTGAAAAAAAAAAAAAATAGTCCTGTGATGTTTGGATTTTGGAAGCATCCAGTTTTCTCGTTAAAGCTCAGTAGATTGTAAAAGGATGAGCTATGACCTTGCAAGATAAATCTCTCAGTGTCGTTTTTTTTAATATCATAATTAGAGTCCATAGCTTTTTTGTCCTTACAGGCTATCAGTGAGCAGTATCGGTGCAATGTATATCTTGTGCTTCAAGTATATTTCGTCTATCTGGATTCCAAATGTGTAGTTTTCCAGATGGTTCTGTGGTCCTGCAGAGGAAGGAGTGAAGGACTATATATGTTGGGAGGAACAATTCCATGTAAGCGGGTTTACATGGTCAGAAGCTCAAAACGAAATCTAAATCTAAGCCGAGCTCTCCTATTTTATTTTTAACCAATTGGTGCCTTTTAAAAGGCATGCACCTAGGTGATAGGAATCCTAGAGCCTTGGAACAAGTACGGGGGTAAAGGAAAGAACCATGTTGAGCAAGCCATTATTTTCTAATAAGAACATATTCAATAGGATTATATATTAAAGTAAGCAACAAAGTTTAGGTATCATATTACCATATGCTATTAGAAAAGATTTCTTGAGGTCATGATATTTATTTACACGGAACACTTCAAACTTTGAAGGACTTTAACTTAAGTAGGCCCTATGGCGTGGGTTTTACTCTAGACCACCTCATGGGCCCTAGTGGTTACCATCTTCTTAGCCTCAAACATGCCTTTTCATACACTGGGAACAAACATTTTTATTTGTTTCTTCATCTATTTGTTGTTGGTTTGCATAAGAGTTTCACTTAGAAATTATTTATTGAGGTTAGAGATTTTTGCTACTTGTGTTCTTACTTTAAAGTATAAACTATGCTATATCTGTATTTCCTTGAAATCATCTTTCTTTCTCTTGCTTATATTTGTTCAATTGTGCCATTAAACCTTTCCTGTTAGAAGGAAGTAGAAGCGTTAGACACTGTGATGAGCTTTAGTTTGTGAATTCTGTATACATTTTTGGATTCTGTGTTTCTCATGAATAAAATAATAGCACCAAAAGGTGAGAATGCTGTAAGAAGATTATTGAAACTTCTCTGTCTTTTGAATATAAACAATACAATCTTCAAATGATTTTAAGATATTTTTAGACTGTAGTTTGTTCCTGGGTGTGATAAATTATGATATTGTTTGATTAATTAAAAGCCTTTTCTATTCGTAAGGCTAAAATGTGAAAATTAGAGGATCTGGCAAAGCCTTTCATACATAATGCTGACTTACTAGCATAAATGTGATTGTGACTTTGACAAGAGATTCTGTGTTATAGCCTTGTTCTCCCTGCTGATGTATCATGGCTTCTATGATGAATTGTCATCCTTCATTCTTATACACTGCTACATATTGTCTTCTTTCTTAAAGCTGTTGAGGACAATAACTGAGGTCTGACATGATTGCAGGTTTCTTCTTCCTGCATCACTTATCGTCATAAATGACATTGCGGCTTATTTATTTGGGTTTTTCTTTGGGAAAACTCCTCTGATTAAGCTTTCTCCTATGAAAACTTGGGAAGGATTTATTGGGGCTTCGGTTACAACCATCATTTCAGCATTTTTGGCCCGTACTACTATTCAAAATTTTGCATGCATTTCAGCCTTTTGACCTTTTTGGATTGGTTTTACCATTTAACTACTCTTAACATGAAATTTGACTCAAGGAAATTTCTACATGGTGCTATAATTATTTTTTCTCGTCTTTTTGCTGCAAACATAGGACCCATTTAAAAGCATAAGTTAACCCTGGCATAAAGTTGAATCTCCCTTGAGGAGACTATAATGTTCTTTACTTCAATTTCACATATGGATCTATTAAACCTTTTATTCTATTGCAGCTTGCAAATGTCATGGGTCGGTTTGAGTGGTTAACATGTCCAAGAACGGTATATCCTTTTGTTGTTTAATGATAAAGGAGTTTCTAAGAAATCAAAATATATCTCCCGACTAATTGTTGTATTGTTCTTTGGTATGTATGAAGGACTTGTCTACTGGTTGGCTTCACTGTGATCCTGGGCCGCTGTTTAAGCCAGAGTATTACCACTTACCAGGATATATTGCAAATTGGGTGAGATATGAACACTGTTTTCAGTGTTATCCTTCAAATTTTATTGTACTTAACAATTATATGTTCTTGGTTGCTGTTTTTTGGTTGTCCTAATTGCTAAAGGTGGTTCTGGAGTAACTATGTCAGCTTCTCATGCTAGTGTGGCCTTATAGCTTCATACTGACCATTGACCACATATATAACATCAAAAGTTTCGGATAACTTGTTCTAGTTTCATCCATTTCCATGCATGTCTTGGGCTGCACCGCAGCAGTATGTCTGGAGTTACATTTCACTTTTAACAATTCACTGACAAGTGCTATCTTGACATTGAGAGCTGACTGCTTAGGAGTTCGGTTAGAGATTGGTCTTTTTGTGCCATCTGAAGTAATTCATTACCACAAAATTTCTACATTTCGAAATATATGTTTGACTTCAAGCCTAGAGAAATTTACACTTGTTTGTCAGCAATCTCTTAAAAAACCATGAAGAGAGCTAGACTGCGAGTGACCAGCTTTAATCCAGTGTGCTGTAGGTGTATGTGAAGAGCTATTCTTCGAGTTTTGATGAATGAACCCTTCAGCTGACGATGGTTAACTTTGTCGATTGATATTTTAAAAAAGAACTGATGGCAGGAAGTGAGAATAGCAGAGGGTGCGTGAGGTGACAATTGCTGTTATATGTCATAGCACCTGTTCAGAATTTTAATTATTGTTCGCATTCAAATAATCATACTTTTTTTATCCCAGTCAAACGGGCATTGAACTTGGGCATTAAGGTTCTTGATCCAAGTGTTAAGACTCAAGAGCATCAAGTTACCATATATGTTAGGATGTTTTATTACTTCTCATCACTTCCTTTTAAATATATTACTCATGCTATCAGTCATTTAAAAAATCATAATATATTAAGGATTTTCTCTACTGGCATGGAACTTTTGATTCGTAATCCAAGCACAAGAGCATAGATGTCAGGCTTTCTGATTTTTTTTCTTGATGCAGCCTATTTAATGAGCTATCTATCATGATTATATGATTATTATATCTCCTCGAATTACATGTTATCTAGGGAAGGAGTGGATTTCTGGAGATTGGTGTGTTCTGTAAGTTAGTTTTACGTGACTTATTGCTACAGCAGGAAGTTTTATCTGATTTGGAGCTTCATTTAATAAGATTATCCATCAATTTATCAGGAACACTTTGTAACAAACTGCCAGGCAAGCTTTGATAAAACCTGTCATCATAAGGGCTTCATGTTGAACTAATCCATCTTATTCTTGAGTAAATTTTATATGTGATGGAGTTAAGAAAGCCTTAATGTTTGAATCTTCCTGTCAAGCTATTTAATTAAGATTTCCTTGTGCAAAAGTCGGAGAAAGATCAGCAAGTAGTATTGAAGCAAACACCTAGACCTAGTTACCTTGTCAAACTATAATATAAATTGGGTTGACTAGCATCTTAAATACTATGCTCTATAGCGTTTAGTATCAAAATTGCTAAGAGGCTAATGTGTTTCATTATCCTGTAGTTAAACAAAGAATTCGTACTCATTTGACAATTTTATGTTGAATAGATGAAAGATTTAGAGAGCATAATGATGTTGCTGTCTGTTTTGTAAGGATGACTTTCCTGTGCATTTTTATTTTCTGTTTTAACATCCTTGGTACTCCATATGTTTTATACAATATGTTGGCACCTAAGTGTCGTGGATCTCAACACTTGCTCCATTGACACTAACAATGCTCCTGCCTGTGAAGACACTTTTTTTTGGGGGTGGGGGAATTGATAAAGCCTTACTCCTGGCTACTAAAATTAGATGTTGCTATGAAATATTGCAGGAGATATTATGAATTCAGAATTTATTGTCAGTGTATCTTTTGCAGATCCCTTGGAAAGAAATTCCCATCATGCCGGTTCAATGGCATGCTTTGTGTCTAGGCCTCTTCGCATCAATCATAGCACCTTTTGGAGGTTTTTTTGCCAGTGGCTTTAAAAGAGCCTTCAAGATCAAGGTTCACTCGCATTTCTTTGACTTTACACACAGATAGTAAAGCCTCCACAATATGTGATTACATCCCTTTTCCTTCTTGTCACAGGACTTTGGTGATAGCATCCCTGGACATGGTGGTATTACTGACAGAATGGATTGTCAGGTATGCTGCAAAATATATTTGTTACTAATTGAATCTGTTCTATTTATAACTTTCTGGTATGCATTCTGGGGATTGCATAGCAATTAATTGAATACTCGAAGTCTATAAACCCTATACAGTATCATATGCAAGAACAGGTTAAGTGTTGCAGTCAATTGTGCATCCAAATAAAATTTTATAATTATTTGGTAGTTAAACACGAGTGTTTTGATAACTTTTTCAGATGGTTATGGCCGTCTTCGCATATATCTACCATCAGTCCTTTGTTAAGCCACAAAGCCTCTCAGTTGAGTCTATCTTGGACCAGGTAGTTTTCTGACTTTTCCCTTTGTTCAGATACATCTGATCTTAGATTAATAGAAAGCTTTTTTGTCTGTTGTTAAAAGTTATCACATGAAGTCTTTGTACTGACATCATTTCTTGGTAGATTTTGATGAACCTTACATTTGAGGAGCAGCTTGATCTATACCGGAAGCTGGGAGAAATCTTACAGCAGAAAAGATTTGGACAATAATAAAATCCATGATATTGCTTTGAGGTTTGTTCTTCTTGCCTTCCTCTATGCTTTTAAACGGCATGACATGATCTGTTTTACTTGTACGACCCACCATTTAAATGTAACTGACAACTCAGAAGAGCAATTGTACTGTGCTTTCCTTGTTAGCATTTCGTACTAGTCCAGTGAATCTCTTTGACAGCTTTGCTGGATTACATTGCCTTTGTCCTTATTCTTGATTGACTTCTACTTCATTTGAAGATTAGCGGGAGAAGCTCTTGGTAATCAGTGAGCTGCTATCTCAACTCATGATTATATTAGAGGGCTGGTATTTGTCAAGATAGGACACTTCATGAGGGCTTGGCTTGGATCTTCTTTGGAATGTGATATTGGTGGCAGTTGCATTGTACATGTGGGAAGAACTAGGAGTTTTTTGTTAGTCATTGTACACTAGAGTGTATCATAATCTTTATCTGGGATTCATTTTCCTGGTATTTTGTCTAAATTAGTTTTCATCGTTTTTAGGGTTTTTTTAAAGATATATTCTTGCAATACCATACATTGGCCATTGTTGGTGTTGTGGTTCCTTGCATTCCATTAACAATTATGATTGTTTTGCGGTGTACATGTTCCCATTTGCTCTTGTTTGCACCAAAAAATGCCAATAATTTCATCGAATAAAAGATGCAACCCTGAACTTCAAGATTTTCTGTAGGAAACTTCAGTAATTCACCCACTGAGGCATCGACTGTCCGTTGCAAGCTTAACACATGTGAGCATGGTGCTAGTGACCATTCCCTTACCATGTAACTAACGGTAACATTGGTCTTGGCTCTAGAAGATGGCGGTATTTTCTGATCCCTCCTCCCCCAAACACCCACACTCGCGTGCACACGCATAGAGGGTTGTGGAGGTGTTTGGTAAAGAGCTTATTGGAGCAAAGTTAGCTTATTTGACTAATTATCGAATTTCGGAAGTTTCATGTGTTAAATTTTGGTACAAATTTGTACTTTTTTTTTTTTACTACTTATTACGTAATTGTGAATTATTTCTTCCTGTACCTCGGCCATGTTTATGATTTGGTGCCTTTTTTAGGAGGTAAGGATCAATTGACACAAGTGTCTAGAAATGTTACAAAACAAAAACCAACGTTTTATGGCCATATTACCCAATCCCAAGCCAAGGAAACTACTCCAGCCAAGAGCCAACCAGAGTCACGGTCGCAACTTGCAAACAATCCTCTTCTACATCGTGCCAGCATCTGTGATTCCTTCTCAACTGACTTCATACCCTTCTCTCCCTGCCTGAGCCACCCTTACAAATATTAGACCATGACGCTTAGCTTCACACTATATTATATGGACTTGGGTACCTATGTCCGACTCAGCTATTTTGTGAAAAAAAAAATTCATTATAATCTTGGTTGGCAAAGGTTGTAATTAACATACAAATAAATGAGCAAGTATATATTTTTTTTTCTAGCTAAGAGAAGGCGCTATCAAATGGAAAACCCATCGAAGTTAACTCAACCTACCTCATCCTATAGTTCACATAAAACCCCCACGATGTACATGTAGCTCATGTACTTGTATATTTATATCAATTAGTTGCAATGTACTTGGTAAATACGAAATACTCCGTATAAATATGGTATAACAGCGAAATCTGAATCCCAACAAAATATTAGCTAGGGAATCAAACAAGATTTGGATTAAAGTGAAAAAGAAATGCAATCACATCATTTACTCCTTCTAAATGGAAGAAATGTCTGACGAAAAGGCAAATTGACCACAAGTATTTTAGACCAAGAATTTAAATAAATAAATCTCTTTTGCCTATGTTCACGCATTAGAGAGATCACAAATTCACAAATTCACTACGAATAGGGGATCACAAGATCATTATAAGACCGTGTCTTATCATCATAAAACCACCTTGTACATAGATTAGGCCAAGAGAAGAGAGAAACTGAAATAAGGTCACATGCTTGCAATGACTCATAAAAGTAGCACGGTCTAATGATGAGGAAAACAATCTTATACATATGTTTTTCCTATTGATTGTTAATTTTGGTATAACTAGCTTGTCTAGCTATAAATTGCCAAAGGGTGATTATGATGTAAATGAGATTCGATCTCAAGTTTTGCATACGATTAATTTCAATTTCTTTCATAATATCAAAAGAAAGATTATAATGTACTATTAACGTAATACTATAACTTAATTAAGTAATAAGTTCACCATTGTTTTTCAAAAAGAAAAAAATTACAACCACACAAAAGATAAATAATAAATAAAACCCCAAAAAAATTCCCTTTGCATAATTCCTCTCACCAATATACGTAAATGAATGAATCTAATATCATATATCCCTAATAAATAAAGTCGGTCTCGCAGCCAGGCCACGAGACAGCGACACTTGGCATTCCAGTTTTTCGCCAAGTGTCGCGCCATGTAGGCAACAAATATGTATTATTGTGACACATATGATGCTAAGTAAGCGATTTTTGGATATATATTTTTAAGATAAAATTGTTGTATAGAGTTTTATTATCACTATACTTCTAATATTTCATATATACAAATTAATCATAACTTTTAATAAATATCGTATAACTCGGTTTTATTTCCATCATAAAATTCGTTCAAAAAGTTCTTTAAAATAAAATCCATTTATAATATATTTAATTTAGTTAAAACTAAATAATAGAGATTCAGTAAAAATAAATTTTAATCAGTAAAAATAATTTTGGTTTGGTAAAAATACTTTCGGTTCAGTATAAATAATTTAAGTTCAATAACAATAATTTCCAGTCAATAATAACATAGATATCTATTTTCAAATAAAACTACAAAAAATATACTATTATATAATTATAAGCGATAGGAATTACATGATCGTATTAATGAACATTCAAGCCAAAAAGTTTATTCTAAAATTTTATCATCCACCTGGGCATCGCCATCATTTCATATCATATCACTAATTACTAATATATAAAGCCGGTTTCGCAGCCAGGCCACGAGACAGCGACACTTGACATTCCAGTTTTTCCCCAAGTGTCACGCCACGTAGGCGATAAATAGGTATTAAGTTTAGATATATTTTTAAAGATAAAAATATTTTATAGAGTATTAATATCGATATACTTCTAATATTTCATATATACAAAATAAATCATAACAATAAATATCTTATAACTCGGTACTACTTCCATCATAAAATTCATTTTAAAAAGTTATTTGAAATAAGATCCATTTATAATATATTTAATTTATTTACAAAAATAATAGATAATCAGTGAAAATAAGTTTTAATCAGAAATAATTTTAGTTTTGGTAAAAATACTTTCAGTTCAGTAAAAATAATTTCAGTTCAATAAAATATAATTTCAATTTAGTATGTCTAAATATCCTGTATTATCAAAAGGGGTTATATGACCGTATTTAACATTCAATCCAAAAAGTTTACCCTAAACTTTTATTAACCATCTGGGCATCGCCCGGGCACAAAACTAGTATATATATAAAGGGGAGTTTTTTCCCAAATTTTTAGAGAGCCACCTAGGATTTTAATTTTTTAAAATTATTAGAGAGCCAAGTAGAATTAGTATTTTTAGAGCGTTACGTGTATAATAATGCCACGTAAGATTAATTATTTTAAAGCGCCACGTAAGATTAAAATTAAATGTTTAAATTTATTATAAATTAAAAATTTTATCTAAGAGAAAAGAAACAATTTATGTTATTTCGTATATAAAAAAAATACTATAAAACTTAAAAAATGAAATTCACATTTAATTGATATTTAAAAAAAATTGGATTTCATAAAAAATAATGAAAATATGACAAGTGATTATTATAAAATATTTTATAAAAAATACTAATAAAAAAATCAAATCACGTTCAATTAAAAAAAAAATCAGTTTTCTCTAAAAAAAAAAAAAAAGTATCAGTTTTTGATTAGATATAAAAAATAAGAAAAAAATCATTTAAATGGAAAATATATTCTTTTTCTTTTTCTAGCAAAAAAAAAAAAAATTGTTCATCGTTTATTAATTATTCATCTAAAACATTAAGTTGTACGTTAACAAAATTTATCATATCTAATAATAAAATTTATCACCACTTTAAATCTAGTATTTTTTAAATCCTACATAAACTCATCTAATATCCCACGCGGTGAACGATGATTATAATTAAGAAGTAAGTTAAGTCATAAGTGTTAATTTTTCAAGGATGCTAATTTTGCAAGAGAGCGGGTTTAATTATGCAACTTATCAACTGACACGATCAATGATTGATTTATAAAAAATGGTGGAAGCCTGCAAGATTATATTTTCACCGTGTTTACAATTTGAAAAAAGTTGGTTAAACAAATACATATAGGTTCACATATTTTATTTTCTTTTGATTTTTTTCAAGAATTGGTTTGTATTGTTGTTTAAACAAACAATTTACAAAATATACCGTGTTTAAATATGCGTTAACCTTAATTGTATAAGATTAAAAAAAATAGTAATATTATGTATTAATATTTTGTTATTACAATTGAATATTAAATGTTAAATTTAACTATTAATATAAACCCGTGCATCGCACGGGCTTAAATCTAGTTATGAATATATTAGTATAGCAATACCAGGCCAGAAATATGTGCATGACAACTATGTTAGGCCCTATCATATCGATAAGGTCTGATGATAAGAGTTAATAAAAAGGGATGCCTAATTACAATTTAAAAAAGTTTTAATAAGTTCAAATTAGTAAAAATCAGGCAAATAAAATACACTTTTAGTTGGTTATTAAATTCATGTAGAGTGTGAATTTACATAACTCTCTCAGATCAATATCAAAGTCATAAATTCATGTGATATATGAATACAATTTGTGGGAAAGAGTTAACAATAATACTCTACCACATGAATTAATCCACCTCTCTTTGTCTCAAACCTAAGACAAACAATGTCTTAAACCCAAGACAAATGAAGAACGAAAGGCACACAAAATTAAGTTAGAGTATGTAGAATATTTATACGAAAAAGCTTAAGAGAAAATATACACTGTATAAATATTATGCACGTATATACTACCTCTTAAAACTTTAGAAGTTTGACTCCCTTATACTCCGTAGTACACCATATATGTGAGCAAACTATACAATAGTGGTTTACAGTTTATATAAATGAAAATTTTACCATGTGAGAGCGAACTTATTGAATTCACAAAAATTATACTTTTTGTGATGTTCACTTACATGTAGTCAAAATATTTAATAGTTAAATAAATGCATTCAAGATCATGTAAAAATCAGCAAATGAGTCAAACATTCAACAACGAAAATAATCCTTCATCCGTTTCAATAATATTGCAACAATGATATTTTTGCACTATTTATCACTCTTATTTGACCATATAATATGATTTATATGTTAAGCAAAATATAGTCATGTGGAATCTTGTTAGATTCGTCTCATAAAATACTTTCACAATATCAACTTTTATAATTTTTACTCTTATACAACTATAGATATTTAATATATAAAATATGATTTGAAATGCGTAATTTCATCCTTATTGCAATATTATTAGAACGGAGAAAATATATATTTAAAATAAATGATA